AAAGTCTTTTGTTTCATTTTTCTGGAATTCTGTGATTTTTTTCCATACAATTCTTCGAAAAAGCAGCCCAATACAGAATTGCAGGTCGAAGCCCTTTTTCTGGGGGCCAGTTCTGTCACGGGGTAAGGGCCGATCTGCTTGTGTTTTGAGCAGGCATGTGCTAAGCCTTCCTATGTTTTAAACAGATAACGTCCTTGTAATTTGGAAGCACTTCCACCAAAGACCGGCTTTGTCCCTTCTTTCGGGATGTTTGTTGTTTTCGCTGTTGTCGTTGAGATGAAAAAGAAATTCGGTATCTTTAAATTAGGAGGAGCTGAATAATGAACCTTGGGCAGTGAAAAGGCTAATTCGCTGTGGAAGAGAAGGAGTTTAATCTAATTTAGTTGGAGGGTGTCTGTCTGCGGTGTTGTTTTTTGGAGTGTGGGAATAGAGGAGAGAAGCTGCCCCCTTGAATGGTCCCTCCTGCGCCAGAAGCAGTAGGGAGCCCCGTAGACGCCAGTGATCCAAAGCCGGGCCTTGAAAGGGGGATTAGAGACATGCTCTGATTTGCAATTCACACTAATGCACCCTGTGGAACCTTTGGTAATATTTCAAACCACATTTCAAGGGAAGTGGCCTTAAAATAGCTGCCTAAATGGTCGTGGAGCAACACAGTGCACTCCGGTCATCGATTTTATGATGTGGATGCTTTTCTGTTTATTTCTCAACACCCCCCACAGCCCTCAACCAACCAACAACTTACAACTGGTGTTTTTAGGTGTAATTAAAACTTTTGTGCCTGTCGAATTTGCTGCAACTTGCGTTGGTTCTCTGGTGACACAGTGTGTTTTCTTTAGTTAGTATCCCTTCCGATGACTAAAGGCATCTTCCTTGGAGAAAAATGTGGGGCAGAGAGCAAGAGCATGCCTACTCGGTTAGAAAATAGAATTTTCCAGGCCTGTTTTTTTTGTTTTTTTCTTATCTGAGAATAAGTTTCTGCAGAAAGGTGACACATGATCAGGTCAGGAAAAATAGTACCTATTGGTATCAGAGACCCCTCTGCACATCAGGCAGTTGTGAGCAAATAGATCACATTTCATTCTTACTTGAAAGTGGAATTGGAGAAGTCCCTGATGAAATACAAATATTGATGACATTAGAAGACAGAAGAAGAAACACAACACTATTTCACTGGATCACCAAACCTGAATGTGCCAAGAGAGATCATCCACGCGGTAGCTCCTGAAAAAGCACTAAGATCATGGGAAACACTTTTTATCTTCAATGTTACCAACACTATTTTCTTTCTTTTCATAACCTTTGCTGATATTCCACAAGTTTGCTCTTGCAATTAGCTTGTAACATGGTAAGTCTATGGTTTAATTTCTCTCTATTGCTGAAAGTGTCAGTACTTTTTATCTTAAAGAGATTATGTGGGCCTTGTTTAATCCCATTTCAGAAAACCTCGCACAGTGCTTATGATTTCCACTGACTATAACATAATAAGAGATACGACTGTGATTTTTAGCAATATCCGTGTCGAAGTATTTTATTCTTTGGACTTTGCTCGAATAGAATGAAACTCTGCCTCCCTTTCAATTCCTTTCCATCCAAAAGTATGTAGTTCCCCTTCAAAATATTGCCTGACTCCCCAAATATTTCCTTTCAAAAACCTCTACTTCTCTGGGTGAACATTTGCAAGGACTTGAAGGTACTTAAAAGTTTAAGAGTAGCTCTCCGATATATTTCTTCAGGTAGCTGGGGTAAAAATATATATATATATATATATATTCCTTGTCCCTGCATGTTATTTGAAATCATGTTTAATTATAAAGTTTCATTAAAAACCTTTGCTCAAAATTTTAGAGACCTAATAAGATTTCCATTAATTTAAACATATCACTATTCCCACGACAGCCCCAAATGCTTTCTTTTCCCTCTTTCATCCATGGTTAAATATGTAAATAAAATGTCTAAAGTCATTCTTCAAAGAAGACAAAAGAAAAAAGAGCTGAGGGAAAGACAGCCATAAAATTCCTCCCAATTCTCCATAACATTTGCCAGAGGGGGGCCAGTCGCCAGCCAGGGCTGAGCAGCAGGGGACCCCGCTGCTCCTTAGAATCACACATCTCAAATCCCACACACAGGAAAAAAAATAAAATAAAATATCTTTTCAGCTGCAGCCATCAAAAGGCCCTTTTCATTTATTAGTTACAGAGTATCTTGCAGTTGCTGATTTCTCTGAGCGTTCATTTTCTGTAATAACGTCTATTTGTTGGTTTCCATCTCAGCTGGGCAGAGGGAAGCACTTCTGCGGACATTTTTATAAAAACGAGAGAAGAAAGCCATCTGAAGTGGTTATCGCTAAAATAATGGGTCCGCACAGGGCGGAATTAATACAGCACATAAAAGATAAATTAGGAGCTCACACCCCCCTCCCGGTGTTTGGTGTTCTCTCTTACTTCTTCACATTTATATTTCCAGTAGTTTCTGAGGGGGAAAAACAAAAAGAAAGAGAAGGGAAATGGTGCCAAGGAAGGACCTTGGCAAGCAAAGTTCTAGAAAAGCCAAGTGATGTCCCCAGAATCTTTTTAAAGTTAAAGGTTCTGAAAACAACTCAGTAGACTAAAACACGAAATAAAACTATCATAAGAAAAACGGTAACCTTTTAAAAAGCATGTGAGTTTTCACTCGGGAAATAACACAGTCGAAGGTGGCTGTTCTGACCGCATTAGCGTCTACCTTCTTTTCCACCTTCTCTCTCATCTTAATCCACCCCCCCCACCTCCCACCGAGGTCCAGGGACAATGGTTCAGTGCAGGGTGCACGCACGAACCTGCCTCTTAGTTCTGGGACCCTGGGCAAGTCCCAGCCTCAGTCCTCTCAAGAAGTGTTGGACGGACCGATGGATGAATAAGTGGATAAGCGCTTTCTCCCAAGTTTCTTACAGATGTAAAACCGTATCACTTGTTTTAAATATAAGCCAATATTCTCAAAAGCCTTCTCAGAGGAAGTGCCCCACTTCTGCCACCGCTTAGAAAAAGCTTCCCTAAGGGACGAGGAGGGCCTGTCATTAGCGGCTCCTTCCTGGGCGCTTCCCAGAGAAAGCTGGCAGACCCCGGGGGTCTGCCGCAGCGGGGATCACCAGCTCCTGCGGAGCCCGGCGGAAGGCGGCAAGGCTGCGGGGCTCCAGCACGGATCCCCAGGATGTCTGTACACACTGCACACCTCGCCAGCGTCACCCTCAGACAGCGGGGAGGATCAAGAAGGCCTGTGTGCACGCGGCCCGCTCCTCTGACCTCTCCTCCCACCGGGGAAAGTCCTCCAACTGACCCCTCTGTACCTGATCCTGGAGTTTCAGAAGAACTAAAAAGACCCTGACCTCAAGGGCGTCTAAGAGGAGAGAGACCCGGCCACCTCCTAGGGGTACTGTTTATTTAAGGGTTAACACGGGATGCAAGGTGAAGCGCTTTGCATATTCCCTGCAGGCGAGGCGTGGGTGTGTGCGCCCACTGTGCACGCCCTGCGCGGGGCAAGGGGCAGGGAGCGCTGTGTCCTAAGTGACTTGATCACAAACTGGCCCCAATCCGAGACGGGTGAGCTGAGGGCGTTGGGCCAGGCCGCTCCTTCTCTACTTTCTACGAAAACTGAGTGGCGTGCGCGCCCCCGCCTCCCCCGGGAGCTGGGGACCCTCGGCCCGAGCTGACGCAGCGCCCTCCCAACTCCGCATCATCTTACGGGGCTGTAGCCAAGGAGGGCGCAGGCCGGGCAAATCACTCGCCAAATAATATAAATACCCGACGAGCGAATGACTTCCTATAATAAATAAACTCAGCCGCCTAGAAGAAATCACAGCCCTGCCTGCCGCGAGGCCCCTCCACTCCGCGGCTTTGTTGGGGGCGGGGGTCACTATTGTACAAGCCGAGCCCCCACTTCCCAGGGAGGCGCGGACATAAGTCCCAGGAAGCTTCCCGCCCCTCCCCCTCGCCTTCTATGCCGAGACCTCTGACGAGCGGCCCTAAAATCTGGATTCCCAGAGCCCCTCCCCCCTGCCCTTAGCTCTCGCCTTTGAAATTTCAAAGAAAACCCCTCCCCGGAGCCGGAGCCCCGAGCGCAGGCCTGGTAACTAACTCCCGGCCTCGGGAAGACGCGGGCAGGTTTACAAGCTGAGGGGCCACTTTATGGCCAAGGCTGTAAAACGCAAATCCCACCTCGCTTTGAAAGCGCCCTCCGCCCGGGACCCACCATAAAAACCAGGGAAGACGCGCCCCAGTCCCCGCCGCGGACCACCCCTCCCCTCTCGGGCCAGTCTCCGAACTTCCAGTAACCTCGGCGCCCTTGGGGTTCCCGGGACAGGGGCGCAGGCGGGGAGGCAGCGAGGGCAAAGTTAGAGGGTGGCGCAGGAGGGCGCAGGCGGCGGGCGGGACGGACGGGAGGGCTGGGCCGGGCCGGGCGGCGACCCCGCGGGGC